AAGTTGTGCGAAAATTTAATGTACAATACAACAACTTCTAAACACTTTTAAAGATGCTAATTTGTTAGTTAAAGATAGGCAGTTTTCTGATCTAAACTTGAAAACATTTGTACTTTAGAAGAAAGAAAAAACAAAGTGGTTATCCTGAAAGGCAAATTATTTTTTTACATTATTGCTTGTTAAAAATTTTAGCAGTTTATTAAAGTGTCCGCTATGAGAATTACGCGAAATAATCTACCAAAAAGTTAATAAACTTTGCTAAAAATGAGTTCAGTTTTGTTTGATTCACGTACTAAATAGCAATAAGAAACAAGCAAAAAAAGATTTTAATTTGAGAAATTAGCCTAAAAAGTCAATACCTTTTATAATTGGGATCATTCCTCATTTGCAGAGCAAGACTTTTCTGATTGCACAGATCTTCTGTGCAAACACAGTATTTGATCATTCCGTCAAACATCTCAAAACATCCAAGCCGGAGAGCTTCCTCATCGGGAAAATCTTCTTGAAACTGTTTTTCTGAGATACACATTTTCTCCAGACTGAAAACACCTGAAAGACAACCCAAAGTTGTAAGTTCTATTTTTGAAATGTTGTGCAAAATGCAAGCAAGATTAGCTGCTTTGAAAGTAAAACAAGTTCAAACTTGTTTAACATATAATAACTAATCAATTATATACAAGCCAGTGAGCATTTGCACTATAAAGTTATAAACTTAATAATATACAGAACTTAATAACATAATTTTTTAAAATTTTCTATTTTTACACCAAATCTTAAATATCTTTGATTTTTGAGACAACATTTTTAAAAACAAAACAGTAAATTTAAAAAAAAAATTATTCTTAAACTGCTATCGTTTTATCGCTTACCTTTAGAAAGTTCAGTCTGTCTGCTCATGCAATAAGTAGCTGTACCGTATGCAAACCGGTCTCCGCAATTTACGGCAACCGATTGAGAACAGTCTTCTCCTTCTTGTTGCAGTGCATTTTCGCTACACTCAATGCATCGTTTTAGTGGCTACAAAAAGTTAGTATTTGATACTTTACTTAATTATTTACTTTTTTTCAATTGCAACAAACTTGAACTTCTATTTTACTTTTTTTGTAATCTGTTAATTTGTGGTCAACAAATAAACAGTAATTTTCAATTGTTTGAAGTTTTAGATAAAGCAAAGAAAAATGCATGACGGTTGGGTGTCGTGTCATATTTCAGAAACATTTTCAGAAGCTAAAATGCTCAGCTGTTTCAGTTTTTTTACAGATATAATTAGAAAATTATCAAAAAAAAAATTTACAGAATTTTGTTGTGACGGCGTATTTCCAGACGATAATGTCGCAGGTACCGATGAAGTTTTTATCTCGTTCATTAAAATCTGCAATCAAACACCTTTTTTGCTACTGAATAACAGTTACACAACTGAGTGATGTTATTTTAAACGGGTCATCCTATCACTTATTATTTTATTATTTAATTTCTATTTGGACAGCTAAGTGAAAAAATGCAAGTAACCACCAAAAAAATGTATACCTGTTGATAGATAGGTTCCTGATTGCATAGTGGTGAATTACAGACACATATTCTGACACCTTCTTCTTCAAGAACTGTACATCCGTCAGTGCTTACTCTGTTTCCGAAAACATGAGCCAAAGATTTTGATGTAATGCACATCTTCTCTATCGCATTTTTGCCTAAAATTTTTCTTTTGCATTGTTTTCATCTATCAAAATATTCATACAGACAGTGGTTAATTAATAGTAATAATTAGTAGATAGAGGATACTGATACTGTACTTACCATCTTCAATCAAGACTTGTCTTGTCAAGCAGTAATTTTTGGCAGCATTTTTTCCTGATACAGAAATACAGCTGACTGCAGTCTGTTTATCACAGTCGCTTCGTTCGTCTTTTAGGGCTCCTTGGGCGCATTGCATACATCTCAGAGAAGATTCGTCTGAAAAAATATGAACAAACAAATATTGTACCACAGATTTCTGATCGTACAGTTTCATGTTGCTACTTACCGGCAATAGAAGAACCGAAATTACTTTCGCGCAAACCAACATCGGGTGAAGAGTTAAATGTTCTAAAAAAAAATAAGCTTGAACATTCTTTCAATCAAAAAATCTGTTTCTAAAAAGAAATAGAAAACTAAGCAAAAAATTGTATAATTTTAGTTTTTTTCTGCAGAATTGTCTTATAAAATACGAATATAAGATGAATAGTTGAAATAAGTGTCAAACATAATGACACTTACTCATCTGTACTTTTGCTGAACGTTGTAGTTGGGCTAGCAAAAGAAGCTGCACCTTTGTTGAACGTATCCCACGTTGGGGCAGTTTCAGATGCTCTATTTTTTGTCGATGCTACAATTGAAAAAAAAACAGTAACAAAAACAGTAACTTTTTAAATTTTAACAGTACGAAATAAAAAATCATGTTATTTTTTTTTTGAACATTAACTATCAGTGTCAATTCTTACAAGTTGCTGATGAAAATGAATTAATTTCTGCAATTGAGGCGCCATGAATTTGTTTCTTGTCACCCATCGTAATCGTCACTCTACGTGGCGCTTCAGATATACGAATTGGCTATAAAATTAAAAATTTAGTTGATTAGTTTGCAAAAAAAAAAAAAAAATGCAAAGTGTAATAAAAAGGTATTTGATAATTTTCAATTTTTGTTTGAATGTATTCAATGTGACTGTTGCCGATAATTATTTGTTTTTGATACCGGCAATAATCTATGTACAAAACATTTTAGTTCCTTGAACAATTTCATACCAACAGTTTTGATGGCACTAATAAACAGTTATAAGAAACTTATAAATTGTTGTTGTTGACAGATTAGTGAAAAAATTGTGAGAGGGAATTAAATTCCTACAAAACAAGACTGACCATTTGTGTTGTTGTTGGCTGATTTACTGGTTGAATTGGTGATACACTTCCAACTGTTTGCGATAAATCTTCATCAGAATCGCCAAAAAGTTCTGGATGTTGCTAAACAAAATTACTTTTAACAGTAGTTAAATATATTCATTTTTCACAGTTCTGTACTGTATTTTATAAATGAAAAATTAGTAGTTTAGAAATGATATACCTAAATTACTGTTTTATGTTTCTGTTCAGATTTGACGTATTGCAGTCAACTTATATGACATTGAAGGCCAAAAACGATATTACTAAATTTTTTTCATTCTTTTTTTTTTTTTGAGTAAAGAAAGATAAATATTCAATTTCATTTTCAGTTCAAAAAAAAAAGTCTTAAAAAAATTTTTGAAAAAACCTCTTCAAAATTTATGAATTGATCAGCAATCGGTTTCTGGTTACAGAAGTTATTATGTCTGCATAAACAATACGCAATTTCTTTGCCATCAATTTCAATCAAATCACATTCTTCGTCCAACGGATAATCCTTCTTTGGAAATGCTTTATAGTGATCATGTTCACTCATACATTCCTTCATTATTGTATAGGTACCTTGTAAAATTTACTTCTAAATTTTCAGCCAACAACAGCAAAAATCAGATGAACAGAAAGCAATTATGTCTTAAACAGATATTTTGATGACTTATCTTTTTTTATCCAATATTAATTGTTCAAAAAAAACGGCAAATAGAAGGAAAAAATAGACAAACAGAAAAAAGAAATAATGAACAGGTATTTTTGTAACTTTTTTTTTTTGTACATTTCAAATTTTTTTCTTATCATACTGCAAGATGAAAAACGAAAAATGAGAAGATAATAGAAAAAGGTGAAAAAAAAAAAGGAACGCCATTTACTGTTAGCTTCTTTATGCCGTGTGGTCCTACAGAAAATTCGTTCGGTAGCCGGAAAACGTTTAGCATACGGTGAACAGTCATATTGAAACTGTTTGGAGCATTCACCAAATTCATCCAAATTACTGTCACCACAAATATAACAACTTAAACTATTTGTACCTGAAAAAAAAAAAAAAGAAGAAAACTGCTTTTTTTTAACAGTATCTTTTTTTTTTTTTTGGTTGAACAAAATAGAATCTTTTTTTGTTTACTTATCTGTTGTTTTATACCACTGATACAGAATGCTTTTTCAGCGCTGTTATCTTTTGTGGAAATATTAATGATAAAAAAATCTCTACCTTTTTGTTATTTTTTTATTCAGCAAAAGCAAATATTACTCTTTAAAACTGTAATTGTCACTATATTTTTAGAAATTTAAATTTCTAGAAAAAAAAACTTCTTTATTCTTTTTCTAAAAACTATTCGAATCTTTTAGTGTCTTCAAAAGTACTTTGACGTTAACACAGCTACGCTGCAAAAAATTTATAAATTAACAAATTTTATGTTGGTCTTAATTTTTTGTTTAGACTCTGTTTTTTTTTTT